AAAGCTGTCACCCTCTCACACTAAACGAAACATTACCTACAGTCAAGCTCTTAGAATAAAGAAAATATGCTCAGATGAAACAGACTACAGAAAACACACCAGGGATCTAAAACAAACCATGTTACAAAGAGGATATAAAGATACCGAAATCGACAGACAAATCAAAAAGGCTAACAACACTCAGAAAAAAAACATCCTAAATCAGAGCAATACTAAATTTTCAAATAGAATTCCTCTTACTATTACCTGTCAGTTTAAACTCAGAAACGTTTCACGAATTCTGAAAAAACATTTTCATCTCCTACAACTGAACAATCACCTTAACTCTCTCAACACCAAGTCACCCGACCTTTTGTACTCATTTAAAGTTGATATAAATTTAATATTTATAACTCTCTCTCTCTATATATATATATAAGTTATATCTTTACAAAATTTGGCCCTCTTTCAGTTAATATTACAAGTCTTTCAATACAAAAAATCATATTTCTCAGTGAAGTATTTTTAATAAAATAAAATAAAGTTTTGTCCATGAATATATTGAGTATTTGTTTTGAATAGTCTTTGTGCAGAGTAATTTTCATGTTAAAATTAAAAATACTTTTCATCATCTCCAAAATCTCAAATGTTCTTTGTGTAATCCCTAAAACCTCCTAAATGCATTTCAAGTTTTTTTTTTCACTAAATCTTTATAGTCTATATGTTATTTTCTCTACCCTATCTCAAAATGGGATTGGTCAATTTGACCGACTTCGTAACCACCAAAAAAAATCAAAATCAAACCTAAATTAACCCTCTTTTCTTTTTAGTATGACTTCAAATTGTAACATGAAACTACAATCGTTAATTCTAAGTAGCTCTAAGTACGTAACATTATACATCTATTTATAATTAAATTTTATTGTCCTTTTTTATTGCTGTTTGAACGTGTCTAACTGCTATCAGCGCCATAAAAAGTTGTAAATCACTCGGACAACCTGCAGCTCACCTTACACTATCGAATTACATTACCCACGAGCTGCTCATGTGCATGCTTCATGAACCATTTTAATTATATTATTATTATTATTACTTATTTACCTAATCTAGTATTAAATAACTTAAAAAGATCCATACTTTTAATTTTAGTTACTTTTATAATAATAAATAAAGAATAAACATGAAAAACAAGAAATAAAGTACTTACCCAATCTTCTTTTTTTCATGCCCTGATTGTTGAGGAGAGTTAAGCCTGATTTTTTTAGTGGTTATAGTAAAGCACTTAACAATTTTTATTTAATTAAATAATACATGAAAGAATATAAACTAATAACATGCAAAAAGTAGACAAATTCACTTGCTTCTAAAAATTTGCCTGTCTTTCTAACTATGAGACAAGAGCACTTACAAATTCATCCAAGCTAGTCATTAACTTTCCCACGGGAACAATGTTGCTACTCAGAGTGAAGTTGACAGTTATCTGTTCAGAACATAATGTTATATAATACGCCATTTGATAGATGAAAACCTTGACTTTCTATTGGTTGTAATCAAGAGGGGTCTGATTTTCTATATGATAGCTCTGTAACCAAACAAAATTGAATGCTATAAAAATTATAGTCTGTAATAAAGCTCATTGTCAAACCTGCAAGTTCATAAAAATAACTGACTCATTTTCTGACAAGCACAATCAAAGAAACTAAAATATCCAAAGAAGTCACTTGTGAAACAAAAAACACCATTTACCTTATAAGGTGTAAAATTGCAATTACCAAAATGTAGGACATGCACAAACAACTCTTAGAGAACGTTTCAACAACCATAAATCTTCTATTAACACCAAAAAAGATACTCCCTGTTGCTCAACACTTTAACCAACCAGTCATCATTAACGATGTTACTCTTATCGGCATTGAAACAGGTTTACAAAACTA